CCCTCTGACCAGACCACCCCCCCTCTGCCCCGACCACCCCCCCTCTGCCCAGACCACCCCCCCTCTGCCCAGACCACTCCCCTACCATCACCCATGAGCCTTCAGCACCCTCACTTTCTACTTCCCTACTGAATGCTCAGGACAGACGGAAATAAAGAACGATATGTCTTTGCTTTTCTTATATATATTTTTAGTTTGAACAATTTATTTATACCAAAATAAAACTTGATAAATGAAAGTCTTTACTTCTTTAAAAAAAATCATTTTGATGAAATATTTGTGTGATAAAAAGTCTTGTACTTTGACTCTATGTTATTGAGCCACTGTTACAGGGGTCAGGAGGTGTGCCGAGCATCCAACTAACACATTGACAAATGCAACAGACCCACACAATTGGAGAGAAATAAATGTTATGTCAACTTATTGATGTATAGAAATATCTGTCTAAATATTTCTTTAGCACTTAATGTCTGTCCTCGACAGTCTTTAATTTGTGTATAGTGTTGCACTGTTTGCCAGCTAATGTCTCAATATTTCTTTAGCACTTAATGTCTGTCCTTTACAGTCAGTCTTTAATTTTTGTAAAGTGTTGCACTGTTTGCCAGCTAATGTCTCAATATTTCTTTAGCACTTAATGTCTGTCCTTTACTGTCTTTAATTTGTGTATAGTGTTGCACTGTTTGCCAGCTAATGTCTCAATATTTCTTTAGCACTTAATTTCTGTCCTTTACAGTCTTTAATTTGTGTATAGTGTTGCACTGTTTGCCAGCTAATGTCTCAATATTTCTTTAGCACTTAATTTCTGTCCTTTACAGTCTTTAATTTGTGTATAGTGTTGCACTGTTTGCCAGCTAATGTCTCAATATTTCTTTAGCACTTAATTTCTGTCCTTTACAGTCTTTAATTTGTGTATAGTGTTGCACTGTTTGCCAGCTAATGTCTCAATATTTCTTTAGCACTTAATTTCTGTCCTTTACAGTCTTTAATTTGTGTATAGTGTTGCACTGTTTGCCAGCTAATGTCTCAATATTTCTTTAGCACTTAATTTCTGTCCTTTACAGTCTTTAATTTGTGTATAGTGTTGCACTGTTTGCCAGCTAATGTCTCAATATTTCTTTAGCACTTAATTTCTGTCCTTTACAGTCTTTAATTTGTGTATAGTGTTGCACTGTTTGCCAGCTAATGTCTCAATATTTCTTTAGCACTTAATTTCTGTCCTTTACAGTCTTTAATTTGTGTATAGTGTTGCACTGTTTGCCAGCTAATGTCTCAATATTTCTTTAGCACTTAATTTCTGTCCTTTACAGTCTTTAATTTGTGTATAGTGTTGCACTGTTTGCCAGCTAATGTCTCAATATTTCTTTAGCACTTAATTTCTGTCCTTTACAGTCTTTAATTTGTGTATAGTGTTGCACTGTTTGCCAGCTAATGTCTCAATATTTCTTTAGCACTTAATTTCTGTCCTTTACAGTCTTTAATTTGTGTATAGTGTTGCACTGTTTGCCAGCTAATGTCTCAATATTTCTTTAGCATTTAATTTCTGTCCTTGACAGTCTTTAATTTGTGTAAAGTGTTGCACTGTTTGCCAGCTAACTCAGACTTAAATCAGGGGCTGCCTTTCAGAAGCTTTTAGTCCCATGTGATATCTTATTTAATTGGTAGGACACTGAAAAATGCCACAAAACTACCCCCCTGGCCTACACAACATTAAGCAGGTGCTTTCTCCTATCAACTCTAGTTTTTGAAACACTCCACATGCGCAATGTTACAAGCATAAATCATTATATAAATTGTTCATAGAAAAGGGTGCTACACAGAAATTAGTTTATTTTTTACGAAAAGCATAATAAATGTAATAGACTTATATAGGATACAAACTTTCCAGCTGTTCAAAACAAGGAAGCTTCTTTTGTAAAACCTTTTGAGGGTGGGATCTTCCAGGACTATGCAGCATAAAATTTCAACACTAGTTGGCCATCATGTGAGCATCCTTTATTCCTTGTTATTAGGCTTATGTGGCATGTAGATATGGTGAAATCTTTGCTTTAGTAAAGTTGGTCTTCTGGACGGTGTTCTTTGCCTTAGTAAAAGAGGTTTTCTGGACGGTGTTCTTTGCTTTAGTACAAGAGGTTTTCTGGACGTTGTTCTTTGCTTTAGTAAAGTAGGTTTTCTGGACGGCGTTCTTTGCTTTTTAAGTGATTGGAAAAAAAGTTTTTATACAATCAGAAATTGAAGATCAGACACATGATCCAATTTCATTCGTAATGTTAAGAATTGTGGGTCATTTTTAAGTTTTCTTATCTGAGCACCATTAAAAACTCGAGCCTTTAGTTTTCTCTTGTTAGTCCACGTACCAGAATGATCAATAGATTGATCGTGGGCCCTTAATATATAGAAGAAGAAGTTGTACTCTATGTATTGAATGTATGTGTTTTTCTTATTTCATGTCGTTAGTCTCTCTCTTGTGTTAGTCCATGTAACTTGTACTCTATGTATTGAATGTCTGCATTGCCCTTATTCCAAGCTTTTACTATTTCATAGTCAGGCTTAGATTCATGTGTACTTTTGGCTATATGTTTCTGTCTCATGTTGTAAGTAGAGCTTCACCGATATACATTTTGTCTTCTAGCCAACAAATAATCCTATTGTTCATGTTTCGATCTACTATCCCAAACGCTTAAGAAGCAAGGATACTTTGACTTTTTGCAGGATACTTTGACTTAATGAATCAAGAAAATAATGAAACCTTTATAAGTCTTCACATCACCAATCGATTTTTTAAAATAAAAATGGAATTTATATTTTCAACGTCTAATTACTAAAGAGATGGCTTGTCTTCTTGTTTCGTCCTGGTTGATTGCCCGATTGGCAATGGAAACATATTTGTTTCAATAAATTTAAAGAGCACATTTCAAATTACGTTTTGAACTATCGAGGAAAAGACGCCACCCACTTGGGTTAAGTTATAATTTTTTTGCTGGTATCCGTCCGTCACAATGTGACGATGGAGTGGGCTTCGGAGGACGAAATCCACAAGGCCTGGGATTA